AGTAAAAATGAATAGGACGTAAAATGCATATTTCAAAGAGATCTACAACTTTCGTTTAAAACATTTTTCAAAATTTTTAATATTTGGTGAGATAAATATTAGAAACCGTATTCTATTCATTAAACATTTTTTGTTAATAACTTTTTAACGAACCACGAGCGACGGCTAAAACCTTCTGAAAGTCACTCAGGGTCATGACCTTGACAACATATGTCAAGGTCATCGAGATTGGAGGGTGGTCCGTTATTCTATATAATTACCTACTTTTCAAATGGGAAGCATTTATAATAGACAAATCAGGTAGTCTAAAGTTCGCGCGTTCAGGGACGGTACATTGCACAGTGATAAAGGTACTCTTGCATCTTTGCCGATATATCTAAAAAAATTTAAGTAATTATACATATGTACAAAGATGCTGATGTTATTGATTGAGTCATATTTAAACATGAAAAAATAAAAAAATAAAAAATTAAAAATAATAAATATGAGAAGTTGTCCATATGAGAAGTTGTCAACTTATGAAATGTCACAGACAATTTATATGGTAAAAATATTTTCTTCAATATCGATTTATATTGAGGTTATTTTTTTACTAAGTAGATAAGATAGATTTCACATTTTATTCAATTCGGCAATGCCACGGCATCCTCTTTCATTTTGATCTTTAGCTGTAAGAAAATATTAATAACTAATACATCTATACATCAACGTTATAAAATAATAAAGTAGTAATACTTACCAATGAAAATAACACTCGCTAAAATCGCAGAGTTACACGTGTGAAATGTCACGCGACACGCACGAAACGAGTGACATCGCGAAAGTGCCGTTTTTGCGCGTCGTTACTGGCATGGATACCGCGCGCTTCATTTGTTTACGTGCGGCCTGTTGCAGCAGTCGTTGGCAGTTGTGCGAACAAGAAGGGCGAAAAATTGGAAATGAAGGGCGGAAGATGTAAGTATTCACGTACACACATATATACATGTACACACATATATACATGTACATATATATATGTTATAATGATTACAAATAATTTATTTTCAGCTAAAAGTGTAGGTTCCCGACGATCGGGAACGATGCCACCCACGACGTCGCCGTCGTCGCAAACGACGTCGACGGCGACGAGGGCGACAACGAGGGCGACAACAACGGCGACGACGGCAACGACGGCAACGGCGGCAACGACGTCGACATTGCCACGGACGACGGCGACGACGTCGACATCGCCAGGGACGACGGCGACGGCGGCGGCGTCCACATGGGGGCCTAGATCCCGGTACCAAAGCCAAAGAGTAAGTAAAAAATAAGACAAGGAGTGCATGTATGATTTCGTGCAGGATGTACATGTGCATGTGCATGCTTTGTGTGGCGTGTGAGCGTGTTAAGCTAGCGCCGGACTACACGCAATTCGTAATGTGCGATTCGTGAATATACTTTTAATATACTTGTAATATACGTAAATTTACTTTTATAACCTTCGTATAACTTTATATGTTTCAGAGGCTGAAAGCGATCATTCGCCGAGTGATGATGAAAGAGCAGAGGAAAAAGATGAGGCCGCCGCCGCCACCGGCGTACCCGATGCCGCCGCCGCCGCCGCCGCCACCGGCGTATCCGATGCCGTCGCCGCCGCCGCCGCCGCAACCAGCGTATTCGATGCCGGCGTACCTGCCGCCGACGCCGGCATATCCAACGCCGACGTACGCGGCACCGGCACCGACATATCCAACGCCGACGTACGCGGCACCGGCACCGGCGTACCCGACGACACCGTACATACAGCCGACGACACCGTATGTGCAGCCGACGTACGCGCCGCCGACGTACCCGCCGCCGACGTACCCGCCGTCGACGTACCCGCCGCCGACTACCCGCCGCCGACGTACCCGCCGCCGACGTACCCGATGCCACCGTTCCATTAGAAAACGTAAGTATTTAAATACCGGTGTATTTTTTCTGCTGACCTCAGCGCGCCGCCGACATACCCGTCACCGGTGCAGTTTTATTACTTTTTAAAATTTTAGGTATCACGAGACACGGTAGTGTCTCGCGCCAAGTATAAGCGACAACAATTAAGCGACAAGCTAAAATCACGCGCGCGACACCGACCGTGTAGTTTACGCGAGTACGCGAGTTGACGGGCCCTCAGAATTTCGGGTCTCAACAACGGCTGATCCGACGAACTTGAGACTGCGCTTAATCGATAGCTTGGGTACGATTTGCATAATAAAAGTGTTTTTACTTTTCTCCTACGTGCCCCATGAGTAGAGATATTGCAATGCAAAGTCCACGGGTCTGAAATTTCACGTAATTTTTAAGATACGTCGTCGTCGTCGTCAACTTCCTTTTCATATTTCTGCCGCACGTGGCGCTCGCAAGCGCGGCTGACGTTACCGACTTATACGAGCGCCGGTAAATAGAGTGAACCTAGGCCCGGTTTCACCAACGTGAGTTAATCTAATCGGTCGGTTAACTTTCAGAGTTGCCAACAGCCGAACATAAAACTGATCTTTTTAACCTATTTTCCTAGCCTAGCATCTGCGAAGAATCGAACTGGACAGTCGTAACTGGTCGTAACCTAACTAACGGAGAAGTGAACCGGTGGAAGATATGGTATATTGAAGAGAGGATTGGGATAGATTACATTACATCAGTACGTCAAAAGAACCGGGGTGGTGATATAGGCAATATAGGCAATTGGTGACAAGAGCAAGAAGACACGCCAAATAACCTAGCGGTTGACGGCGTCCCCGCAGAGGGGGGACTCCTCCACGTCGTAAGTAACGCGTACGCTATTATCAGAGGCGACGTCACGGCGAACGGAGAGAGATCCTCGCGAAACTGCGCGTTTCATGAACGATCTCTCGGGCGGGAAAATAGAAGGGGATCCGCTGAGCGAGAGGGTCGCTCTCGCGCGACGAGCGAGACTCTCGCTCCAGCGCAGGTATGGCGCACAGTGAAAAAGCTGCGCGACGACAATTACAAAACGATAACGACACTGTCGTAGGGAGTTGCAGAATACGAGTCACGGTTCCACGTTTGTGCGGCACGCCAGTCGTAAGTCACACACGCACACACTCTCTCTCTCTCGGAGAACGAATAGTCTCTTTCACTTGGACGGATTTCCCCGTTACGGTTTGTCGCACCGAGGAGACCCTCGAGAATTCGCCCCACGAAGCTCACCGCTAGAGCCTGAAAGGAATTTCACCC